CTGCTTGCCTCTCTCTCTCTCTCTCTCTCTCTCTCTCTCTCTCTCTCTCTCTCTCTCTCTCTCTCTCTCTCTCTCTCCCCCCCCCCCTCAACCTCCTACAGTGCTAACCTCTAGCTCCTCTACCTCTACCAGCATTGGGCTTCTCAGCTGGGCTTCCTGGTGGCACATGAACGACGTGAGAACTACCTGCCAACTACTGGGCCCACCTCCAACCCAAGCCGGCCTCCATCTGGGCTGTCCAATCCAACGAAAGAACGGCAGTCCAGATGTGAGGCCGTGTGTGGCCACAAAATCTCAGGCCCAGGCCCAGAACGTGTGGCCTGGGACTCCACACTGGTCCAGACACTACCACGCTGCATCAGCAGCAGGGCCTGGAAGAAAAACGGTATGACCCAAAGACTGGAACCTGACCCAGCCTCAAAAACGAGCTGGGCCAGCACAACGCGATACTGGCTGAGAACAGGCAAACTGCCTCATGTCTGGACTCAGAACAGACAAAAGTGTACCACGCCTGTCTGAACTCAAAGCAAAGAAAGCTCAGCTGAGAGGAGACAAAAACACATGCACTGGACTCAGACCCAACAAAACAGTAAAATACTCACACGCCTGCCTAGAGTCAAAGCAAAGCCAGCTGCGCCGAGGACAGGCAAGGACAGACACGCCTGGACTCAGAACGGACGAAATACCCACACGCCTGCCTGCCTGAAGGGCCTCGCCACACGGCGCACGAAACGAAAACGAAACGACTGCATCTGCCCATGAAAGGTGGCAAAATTCACTCATCGCTATTTACAGCAAACTGATGAACCTGGCCATTTTCTGCGGGAAGATGCACTGAGTCTCGTTTCGTTTTTTGTTCCGCGTGCAGTGTGGCGACGGAACAAACTGGGCTGAGGGCAGATGCACGTACCTGGAATCAGAACAGACGGCGCCTGCCTGAAATGAAAAGGGCGGCCCTATCTACTATGGTGGGCCTACTAAACGGGGCCTGTGTAGAAGGCTCTAGGCATGCCACGAGTGATCTGAGGCACTGCCAAAGGCAATGGGAGATACATGGCCGCGTAGCACTTGGGTTGGCTGATGGCCTGGAAATTAGTGATGCCTGCTATTGTGGCATGAATAGAGGGTCAGCCTGGTCCCCTTAAAGGTCAATCCCATTTCTGTGCACAGAAAGCATGCGTTAAAAAAAAGGGAAAACTGTTGAAATGCCCCTGAAAGTTGGGGTGTTTCCTTGGATACCCCTAAAAGGCACAGTTATGGCGGGGACAGGTGGGAAACGTTACGAAATACCCCACTCGCCAATTGGACCTGCCATCTTTTGCATATACCCCTACTGGGTCCTGTATGCCCGGGTATTTCTGGCTGTTGGACCCTGCAGTCGGCAAAAGAAATGCGCCGGCCCCTGCAGTCGAGGCCTAAGGGCATATGGCTAAGTTCGCAATGACCGGCCCCTGCAATCGAGGGGAATATTGCTCAGAAAAGTGGGGAAACATGGTTTCTGAAAAATGCGAAGAATGTCCTACATCGGGAATGCAAGAATCTGAGGAGTTCACTATGGAAGGAGATCAATCCGGACCTGGCAAGGAATGGAGTAAAAAGTACAGTATCTTGGTTGGAACTTGGAAGTGGAAGGATGTGTAAGTAGAAAGGACAGAAAGGTGCACGCACGACATTGGACTGACCGCCGTAA